GGATTAATCTGGTTTCCCACTTTTCTCATGGAAAACATTGATTCGGAACTCTGCTGCATCGCATCTTGATGCTCCTTCTGGAAAGGATTAGCGTCGAGGCCCAGGGTTCTACCATTGACCGAAGCAAACCCCACCCAACACCATCAAGTCCACTCTGACTGAGAGCAACATGAGAAGAAAAAGTAGAATGCTCCCTCAGGTTTCCATGATTGTAAATTCTTGTAGACAGAATGGCCACAGAGTGGGTTATGCCTTCGGGCTGCTAATCACAAGGTCAGCGGTTGGAAACCCCCAGCCCCTCCTTGGGAGAAAGATGAGAATACAAACCCCCATAAAGGTTTACATCTCAGAAAACGACCAGGCCAGTCCTGCTCTGTCCTCCATGGTCTCTATGAGTTTGAATCAACTTACTGGCATTGAATTTTTGTTTGTTTGCTTGTTTGTTTAATCTGAATGTGAATAGGCTGCCTCATCATTCTCCTGAGGAGTGGCTGGTGGATTTGAATGCTGAGCTTTTTGCTAGCAGCCCAACATTTAGGAAAGATAAGATTGAATAGTAGAGTATACATGAGAAAGTTAGAATACAGCATTAAAGTATCCTGTTGATTATTTTCTTAACTACATATTAGATAAATATTTGAATGTAACATAAAACCATGATAATATGCCATTGTTTTGTACTATTGAGATAATTTGGAATTGTTAGTAAGTTTAACACAGAGTAGAACTGTCCTATAAAGTTCCCTAGGCTGTAATCTCATGGGAGCAGATTGCGAGGTCTTTCCCCCATGGTGGTCCTAGACGGGTTCAAACCACAAGCCTTTGCGTTAACGGCAGAGTGCTCAACCATTGCTCCATCAAAGGTCTTCCTGCCCCAAACCGAAATCACTGCCATTGAGGTGATTCGGACTCAGAGTGACCCTATGTAGGCTGCCTCATTTTTCTTTCTTGGAGTGGCTGAACGGTTTGAATCGTCAATGTTATAGTTAGCGGTCCAATGCCTAACCCTCAGTGCCACCAGGACTCTTTAGGTACCTTTATAAGACCCCATAAATTCTTTCCTTTAGTATGTTCACAGACTGCTTTTGATTTAATTATTTGAGAAGGCTAGATTTTAAAGAAGCTATGAATAGCTTACTTGAAAAGTCTACTTTGGGAGAAAAAACAATCTCACAATAATATCTATATATGGTTTTATTCCTGATCAAATTATGATCACATGGGAAATGTAAGGGAAATAAAGACAGCAGTTCTAAGTGTCATGTGCAGCAAATATCACACAATGGGCATCCTGGAAATTCATGTTAATGATGATGCAATTTAAAGCATATTCAGACTACAACATGCATCTGAAATGTAAAGAGAAATGTAAAAAGGTACCTGCTCATCCAGAAAAACAAGCTGTGGCTGTATAGGGAGCTCTTTTCCCACTTCCCCATCCGAAGGCTGGACTGAGACGAAAAGCACATGGGGCCGAATATATATTGAATTCTCAGTTTTGTCCATGCTTGTATTTCTGCCACATGTGAAAGTTAGTAAAAGATAAGCAGAGTTTACAAATACCACTGCAGTAGTTCTTTATAATACATTATTATTGGTGAGAATATTTACATGTGTCTATGTGTCTAGTAGATTGGTATTATGTGCCATCAGTGTATATCAAAGAACAATAACTCGTAGTTTATTTCAAAGCTTTCACTAGCCATGAAAAATGATGGACTGGAAGTGGGTTGAAAGAAGTACAAACTATGGACTTAGATTTTATCACTGTGTATTATTAACCCTGCAAAAATCCAGTGCCATCAAGTCAATTCCAAATCATACTGTTGCTATATGCCATCAAGCTGGCTCTGAATAATAACAACAAAATACTTCCCGCTCCTCCGCCATCTTCAAACTTGTTATGTTTGAGCCCACTGGTGTAGCCACTGTGTCTATCTATCTTGTCAAGAGTTTTCCTCTTCACTGCCTTTATACTTTACCAAGCATGGTGTCCTTTTCCAGAGACTGGATTTTCCTGATGAAGTGGCCAGAGTTAGTGAGACTGCATGCTCCTGGACCATCCTCACAAGGGTTCCTACGCCCGAGCCCATTGCTGCAGTCATTGTATCAATCCCCCGCATTGAGAGGCTTCTCCTCCTTCACTGCCCCTTCACTTCACCAAGCCTGATGATGTCCTTCTCCAGGGACTGGTCTCTCCTGACAACATGTCTAAAATATGTTAGATGAAGTCTTGCCTAAGGAGCACTCTGGCCTTGCTTCTTCCAACACAGATCGATTTGGTTTTTTAGCAGTCTGTGGTACTTTCAATATTCTTCTCCAGCTCCACAATGCAAGTGCAACAATTCTTCTGTCTTCTTTATTCACTGTCCAACTTTCAATACATATAAGGTAATGGAACATAGAATGGCTTGGATCAGGCATACCTTAGTTCTCAAAGTAACATTCTTGCCCTTCAATACTCTACAGAGGTCTTCTGCAGCAGGTTTACCTGATGCATTCCATCCTTTGTTCCCATGACTGCTGCTTCCATGAACAGTGATTCTTTTTTATTCATGGAGAAACACATCAAAAGAGGTTTAATTAACTTGCCCTAAATCTTATAGTTCATAAGTGTATGACCATGAGCTGTTACCAATGAATGAGCTATATTGCCTCTCCCTCCTTCAAATTTTAAATTGTAATGTGAATTAGAGATAAAAAATGGAAAAATATAAAATAAAAAACAATGAATATGTAATTCATGATACCATGATATGACTTTTACTGGTTTTTTGTTTTGGTATTTTTGTTGAAAGAATATTTACACTTCATATTCATGTGCAAACAGACCCTTTAGCTCCATTGAGACCAGAAATAATCTAGTCATTGAACTGAAACTGTCCCATGAAGCCGTCATTACACTGAGCAACATTTTAGCCCTACTAATAAACAATGTTTTCTTTGAGCATTTCACCTTTATAAAAAATGATTTCTATGAGTTTAGACTGACAACAGTTAATCTAAAACTCAGATGATAACGTTAAGGGTCAGAGAACCTACATTAAAGGCATTGAAATGATCTCAGTAGAGATATTGAGAATAGTAACAAAATGTGATGTATGTAACCAATGTCATTGAGCTGATCCTCTAGAAATTATGAATGAATTGTTTGTGAATGTTGCCCCCAAACAAATACATTTTTTAAAAAAAAACCTTATACATTTTTAACCTATTAAGCTTGTACTTTTGGCACAAAATATATATTTGACAATTATATGGATAAGTGATAAAATCACAATGTAGACCATCTCTTGGTGACATCCCCTGCTCTCACAAGGCTTTGATTAAAACAAAACCAAGAAAAAGGGATAGCTTACCAAAATATTTGGTAGTCCACTATTTGAGGCGTGAAGGAGAAACTATTTTTTTTAATAAAGAAGGGCATATGCCGGGTTAAGGTGAAAAAAGGTATCAAAAAAAGTAGAAAATCAAATGCAGATAATTAAGAAATAAATTGCATCTGTATGTGGAAAGTGCTTTCCTTTTTCCCTGGAGAATTCAGGGAAGTGTAGGCAGAGTGGGGACATGTGATCCTAAGGATCCACTTAGGGCGGCTCCCAGTCGAGGCCCTCAGCTCAACACTAGAACAAGGCACTGTAAATTCACATTCACTAATTAGTTTGCCTCGTCTATGATCAGACCCCTTTCATTCTTTCAGGGATCAATTTGAATCCGGTGCTTTACATCCATGCTATTCACTCTCTCCTTCTCTGGGTCCTAGGTCCCTGGGAAATTCTAACAACATCACCAGGTCCTAATTCCCCCTAAATCCACCCCTCAAAAGCTTTCTGATGCAGAGACAAGATTCAGGCGAGCTGTCTGGATATTGAAATGGAAAGTCCCCATCAAGGAGTCTGTTATAAGTACATAGATGTTTCTCGACCCAGGGTTTGGAACCAACTGCCTGAAAACCTGCGGAAAAGCCCTTGCCTGACACACTTTAAAGTTTATTGTGAGCAAACATCTTTTATTAAATGTAAACAGCATCTCACTGGAGGTCAGAGACTTGCTGCTACAGTATATCCCAAGGTAATACCACTTTAAGCTCCACATAAACTCTTAAGCAGTTTCTATCCTAAAACCTGACCGTAGGTGGTACAGTTTTTTACGATATGTTATAATAGTGCAATAAATCTGTTAGCTTAAAATCGAATCTCCGTGGCCTTTTAGAGAAATCATCATTAAATGCAGGGTCCTGTTAATGATGCCATTGAAGTGAAATTGTTTAATCTGCTAAGGGGGTGAAAGGTCACCAAATGAATTTTTTATAATACATCAACTTGACACGCAATAGGGAAAACTGTAATAGATAAAAGCAAAGGAAAAGGGCACTGTCTTCTTCTGATAGGTCAATAGCAGCCAAGAGAGTCACTCATCCACTTTCCCTTCACGACGGGGCTCCTTTTGCATTTAATATGGACACCCAATTAATACCTCAGCACCACAGACAACCTCATTTTAGGTGACTTATAGCAATTTCTCCCCCTTCCCTGAAATGAAAGTGATCACAATACATCATAGCATTGTGCGAATTAACGTTAATTGATTCAAGTTACCAAGCAATGATGGGCCACTTATATAATCTAGGCGTTATTGGGTGCTAGAAGGGATGGAGGGAAGATTAGATTCCAGTGTCCGTTGCTGTGACGACGGGAGTCACCTGACGCCTTGTTAGACAGTTGTAAGGTTCTATTGCTGGCCCCAGTGGGGTCGTCAGTAAACTGGAGTGATGTCCAAACATCATTACACGCTGCTCCGATATTAAAGCAAAGGGATTAGCAACTTATTGCAAGCAACCTGGATTTGTCATTGTGCTGTCGTTATCCAATTTCCCACCACTAATGTGACTGTAGCCTGCAGGCAGAAGGACCAACAGCCAAACTTTAAAAATGGGGGAGGAAAGTTCCCTGTGATGCTCCCAGTTTTAACCACTACTTAGCAGCTTCCAATACCCAGTCAGGTATGTGGAAGAATTTTTTTCTTTCTGTACAATGCTGAACGGAAAGCAGACAAAAAAAGGCCAAGAACAGACTGGCCTTTCCTTGTTCAGAGATCACCACTTCCTACCCGACCTTGAGTTTTGCGAATCTGCAATATTGAAAACGTTCACTCTTTGGTGCAGGGGTATTTGCATTTGCACGATGAGCCCAGCAAACAAATGAAGACCTAGGGTTCTCCAAAATGGACTCAGGGTGAGCTTTGTGCTGGACGTGTGGTGGTGACAGGAGAGAGCTACTCCCTACATCCCACGTCCGCCTGGTCTTCTTAACATCTCATCTGCTGGGCACCCACTAAAGGGCTTCATGTCTTGATTTACTATTTTACATGTCTTGAGCATCTTGATCTATATTGTTGTAAATAGACTTGTTAGGTGCCTTGGAATCAACTCATTGAGACCCCTTTGAGTCCCCCGTGCATAAGTATTGTGTTCAAAGCATGTTGGGGTCCTGTACCACAGCCAGATCGCCCATAGGGTCCTGATTTCCTAAAGTGGGGTGCCATGCATTTCCCCCTAAGTCTGTCTTAGTCTGGAACTTCCACTAACACCTGCTCTGCATCACAGTAACACACATAGTAACTCCACTGACTGACGGGTAGTGGCTGCATGGAGGGGCACTGAGTGGAAATCCAATGCAGATTTCTCACATGGAAGATGAGAATTCTACCACAGAGTCACCACCACCTTCTTCGCACAGGCGAGATAATGCAGAGTAAGTGTGTGCATGACGGGAATTGACTTAAGTTCCAAAGGTGTGGGGAAGATTCTGCAGCAAGGAGAAGAAAAGCTCCCTAGTCGACTCAGTTTAACAGCATCTGTTAACCCTCCTAACTGTGGACACACTGTTGTTCCGTGTACTCTAGAGATACACAACTCTAAACAAAACAACAGGATCTCGGGCCCTCAGGAATGCTTTTCTATATGTTTAAGAGGGGGTAACAAAAGACTTCCCTGGCTACGTTTCTGACTTGACACATACTACTTAAACATTGGGGTCCTTATGCTCCCTATTAAGCGTAATCAGATGTCCTTAGGGACTGTCAACTCAGGAGGGGAGCAGTGTCTGGTCAGCAGATGGTTCACTATGGAATAGCGGTCCTCAGGCTGGAATACTGTAAACACATTCTATGTTCTCAAAGCAACCCTAGTCCTCATTATTACCCAGCGTGTGCTTCCCCTCTCTTAGGCTATTAAATACTTCTGAAATGTCTTCACCTACCTTGGCCTGCCAACTGCAAGTTCTAGTGCACTCTTCACTATAATACGCTCACTGTTGTACTATAACACATCTTATTAACCTTTGTAGTTCCTTGAAACTTTTTATTTCTAATTAAAATATTTGCTTATCATCCAGCAATATCATCCACAACATCCAGCAATGTCAGGGTAAGCAAATACTTGTGGGACAAAATATAATTGATAAATCTAGATAATAAATTATTAAAATGCAATTTTATAATACACTGAGCATGAAT